TTCCTCTTGTAAGTTAACCAGCTGACTTATTCTTGGTTTTAATAGCTTTTATTTTGTGTGCATTTCAAAGCTGATCTAGTTAACGTGAATTGCCATTTATGCAACAACTTTTTATCTTCAAACAATACAATACTTGGTGAAGTCTTCAGCCTTGCCTGTCGCTAGACTGCAGCATAACTGTCTTTTATAGATAGGAAGAGATCTTAAAGTAAAGTCTTAAAATATCAAGAGCTGATGGAGATTCCTGAAGATAATTTTTCATGTGGATAACTTGTGATTTTTGTTCTTTATCATTTGAAAGCTGTATCAGTGAATGTATACCCAGGGGTTTTGCTGAGTGACAGTTTGGTCCCTCAGACATGCTATTGAAATAATTCAGTGTGCACCTCTTCCCATGTGACTGCTTCACTGTGTATGTGGCTCATTGTTCAGTGGTGCCTCTCACTGTGTGTTTGAGAACAAGCAGCTCAGACCTTAACAGTGATGCTGAATTTTCTCCCCTTTTCTCCCCTTCTTAAGGTGAAGCTGTGTTTGCACGGTGCCTGTCGTCCCTCAAGGATGAGAGAGTACAGGCCAGTAAGCTGCTGCATGGGCCTAAAACAAAGCAGTTCAGTGGGAACAAGGAGGCCTTTCTGGAGGACATACGCAAGGTGAGGCATTGTGCTTGCCAGAGTGTGTATTACAGCTGCATATGAAAGCAGATTTTGGGGTGCTGTAAGCCCTGGTGGGAGCTCTTATGTTCACATTTCATGACAGTTGGTTCCTGCTTTCAGCTGGCCCATGGTGCATGGTCTAGTAATGTCCACAAAGCTTAAAGTGACCAATTCCTTTCCTGTCCAAGAATAGTCCTGAAGGAATTCAAGCCTAAGCCACAGTAGGCAGTAACAACTACCTGTGGTGCAGAGTTTACTTTTTTGCCCCTCAAGACTCTCATCTTTGTAATGGGGATGATGGCTTTTGACATGTCTCTGTTGAGAGCAAACTCTCCAACAATTAGAAAGGATATTTTGGTTCTCAGCTGGGATGTAGCCACACTCCTGATGAGATGTGGACTAACAGAACATGCAGGCTGTGAAGTTTCTCATTCTGCCTTGTGGAACTTCACTTGGAATGTGATTTATTTCTTTATGTTTTTTAGGCCCTGTATGCTTCCAAGATTATCTCATATGCTCAAGGCTTCATGCTGCTGAGACAAGCAGCCAAAGAATTTGGCTGGACGCTGAATTATGGTGGCATTGCACTGATGTGGAGGGGAGGCTGCATCATCAGAAGGTAATTAAGATGAGACGGTGATGTAGTTGCTGAGGGGAGGAGAGCAGGCAATTTCAGTCTAGCATCTCATAAACTACAAACCTAAAGGTTTTCTGGGAAAACCCATGGAGTTAATCTGTTGATAAGATACTGAGAGGCTGTGTTTAGATGGCACTGAAGGTTACCAGGTAAAGCCAATTTTTGGTTGGCTTTTTGTACTACTACAGATTTTCTTCAGTCTTTTGTTTGCATCTTTGTCCGTGTTTGGAATCTGAATCTGGCTGAGTCACATTTTGACACTGTAAGTTTTGGATTCTGGGCCTTTGGTAGAAGCGGTGAAATTTTATTCCTGGTTTACTTGTGTTCTGCCTAGTGTGTTCCTGGGAAAAATCAAAGATGCTTTTGATCGAAACCCTGAGCTCCAGAATTTGCTGTTGGATAATTTCTTTAAGACAGCTGTTGAAAACTGTCAGGTGAGTTCCTACTTCCTCAGCTGCTTTCCCAGGAGTTACCTTCACAAGTATATTTAGACTGAAAAATGAAAAGGTAGAGAACACCCTTGAAACCTATTTATGTTGCATCCTTAATCCAAAAGATCTCTAAACAATCCTTAAACTCTTTGGGATGGTATATTTGTATGCACATAATGTATGGGTGTAGGAATTCTTCATCTATGGCTTCAAGGTACCCTTGTTCAGTAGAAATTACCGGTCTTGGAGGATCAGGACAGGAAAAAATTGGAGCTGGTTGAAATGGATCAAGGAGGTTACAGTGAGGAGGCAGGCTGTACTGAGATCCAGATTAGAATGTTATCATATGTGAGGATTAGTGACCTGTCCTTGAAAAAATGCCTACCAAGGCCTCCTTCCTTGGTTTCTTCAGACAGTTGGAGAATGTTAGTTATAAATGAATGGGAAAAAGAAGGGGAGGGTTCATCACTGGAGCACTGGAGTGTATTCATACTGTCAACCTAAAGGTAATCCCGGGGGTAAATGAACACAGAGTCCTTGTTGTGTCATGGTTCTCTTTCATACTAGCCAGGCTACTATTAAGAGAATCGAGGTTTCCATTTTACTGTTACAGAAAAGCCTTGGGCAGAAATGTAGCAATTCCAAAGAACCACAGTGAGGAAAAATGTCTAGCCTGTGTGAACATTCTCATCGCTGCCCTGTCTTGGGTGCCTGCCATGCGCTTAGATGTCAGTTTTGCCAGAGTATAAAGCTCTGCTCTATCACCATTGTTTGCAGCAGCACCAAAGTAACAGTGTTCCAGACCCACTGTTCACTAGACCTAGGTCTGTCCAAACAGTGTCCTGATTTGGATGGAGTCCAAAAGACTCCATCCGAAGAACTAAAACCAGATTATCTGCCCAACAAAGAAGTCATACATTATCAGTCATAATTCTTTTAACTAAAACTGAATATTCTGTGCAGGTTGTTAAATCAGATGTACAGTTAAATGAGGATTATCCACGTGTCTGTTGGAATATTGTTCTGACATCTTATGCCTTTGGGGAAGGCTTTCTGCTGTGCTTGATGAGAGGTTCTGAAAGTGCCTCAGAGTTTGCTCAATGTGTTCCTCACTGTGTTCATGTTTTTGGGATGCACTGACCATATTTATGTGAAACAACAGCATTCATGCTTGAGGATGTGGTTTGATTGCACATGGAGTGTATGTCTGCACCTTATTGTCCTTACTGTTAACTCTTTCTTTCTTGCTGCTATTTTGGATCAGCCTTTTTTATGTAAAATTGGGAATTTGTTCAGACTCAGTCATTAGATTTTGTATAATGTGAAACAGCAAATGCTGTGATACTAGAATAGTTCATAGCCTGCACATACCTCTGAGCAAGCACTTATTAGCTTCTGCCCCCGGCCCTTTTCCTCTCTTCCAGGACTCCTGGCGACGTGTGATCAGTACTGGAGTACAGATTGGCATCCCTATGCCCTGCTTCACCACAGCACTTTCTTTTTATGATGGATACAGGCATGAAATATTACCAGCTAACCTCATTCAGGTAGGTACCTGAAATAGTGTAGCAGGTCTTTTGGCTGCTGCAATACCATCATGTTGTTACTTAAATACTGGTCTAAGGGCCATGATGGTGATATGTCCTAATCACTTCATTGTAAAGATAAAGGTATGGATTGCCTAATATAATTCTGCTAAACCTGGAATTCCTGGCAGTAAAATACTGTGAGACTGGAGATACTGGTATGACAGTGTCCAGCATGTGTTAGTATTCCATTTTTGAACCAAGAGTAACATATCTTTGCATTAAAATCCTTTATAAAGAAGTATCTTTGAACCTTTGGATGTAAGTGCTTGGTTTTTAGATGAAATAATACACTTGTTTTTCTACAGAACACATAATTACTAGATATTAGTAACTGTTTCATTGCAGTGATTTTGATAATAATGAGAAAATAAGTTTGGCTGCTATAATATAGGAGTCAGATCTTATTTCTAGTATTTCTAGAGTCAAGTATCAGTAGGTACCACTTCTGGTACTCATATGACTGTGATATTCATGTGCCTGTTTTGTGTGTGCTCTTATTCTAGGCTCAGCGTGATTACTTTGGTGCACATACGTACGAGTTGTTATCTAAGCCGGGTGCATTTATCCATACTAACTGGACAGGCCATGGAGGAAGTGTGTCCTCTTCTGCCTACAATGTGTAATAGAAATCATCCCTCTTGAAGCCAAGATACTGTAGATCTCAGATGTTCCTCCTAGAATATCACTTTTTACTGTACTGTGCTAGAATTTGTGTTTAGACACTTTTGTAATAACTTGTGGGTATATTTCATATATATATCTATATATATAACATAAGAAAGCTAAATAAATTAGCTTATAAATGCATTGACGTGTTGTATTTCCAGTGCTGCTGGCCAAAACTGGCTAAAATGTCTTTATGCAGTATTTAATAGCATACACTTTATAACGATAATATTTTTATTGCATTATAGTGCATAAACTCATAGGGATCAAGATAGAGATGACTGTGTTCCCGTAGCTGATAAAGTGGAGACAGGCAGACAGCACAGTGACACTGCACACGATGCCAGGGAGGTAAAGGCCTGGTTTGGTTGCTATTAAGGATGAATTCCTGGGCGCTCACCTGCATGCAGTCTTTCACACCAGGACCTCTGTTTGTTCCCTGGTATGGAGTGGGGTGGGTCATGGAGACACTTGAATGCAGGTCAGGGTATTCCTGTCACCAAGTCAGTCTCCCTCCCAGCTCTGGTTCCCAGTTCTAGGCTCTGGCATAACCTGTTGCCGTAGCTGTTTTCCCTAATCTCCCTGCTGCTTTTCCTCCTCTTCCCATGGGGCAGTTGAAGATAACCCTGCAAAACTGCCTGTGTTTTATATCCCCTTCCTGCAAGGCCGCCCCCATCTTCAGGTAGGAAAATTCACCTGGGTGCCGAATTTCTAAGCTAAATCTACCTTATTTCAGTTTAAAAACACCCCCCTGCGCTTTTTATTTTCCCTCATAACCTCTGAAGTGTTAAACTTTGTGCCGTGCACTGATTCTTATATTTTTTGCTCCATTTATTCCTAAACCACCTACTTACTGCCTGAATACCTCTATAATTAGCTAAAGGTTACTTCAAAGCATCTGTTCTGCAGGTTGCGTTGTAAGATGTAGGAGCTCTATCGAATGCGTGTGGTGATACCGGTAACGGCAAGGACGCGAGCAGCCGCTGAGCGCCTCCCTCAGCGCGGCCCCTTTCCCTCAGCCCGCCCGCCATGACATGGAGGCACAGCCCCGCCCCGCCGCTCCGGGCGGGAAGCGCAGCCGGGCCGCTGCGGGCGGTGCCATGGAGGCGGCGGGCGGCGAGGAGCGGCTCCTGCACGCCCAGGTACGGGGGGGGTTGGAACCCCGGCCCCGGCCCCGCTCCTGCCGTGCTGGGCTGGCTCCAGCGCCGGCAGGGAAGGGTCCGGCCGGGACAAGATGGAGCCCGGGGGATGGGAGGAGGAGTGGGCCATTGAACGGTAAACGTGGTGTTCTGGGGTGCGTTGGGGTCTGCGAATGGTCGCTTATCGTAGACTCCTAGAAGGGTTTGGGTTGAAGGGACCTTAAAGCTCCTCCAGCTCCAACTCCTGCCATGGGCAGGGACACCTTCCACTAGAGCAGCTTGCTCCAAGCCCCTGTGTCCAACCTGGCCTTGAACACTGCCAGGGATGGGGCAGCCACAGCTTCTCTGGGCACCCTGTGCCAGCGCCTCAGCACCCTCACAGGGAAGAGCTTCTGCCTAAGAGCACATCTCATCTCCCCTCTGGCAGCTTCTTTTTGCGTCCTTTTGATAAGTTTTAGTGATTGCCACAGGAGGCAGTGTCTCAGCCTGCAGAGAACTGACCTGTGCTTGCGTCCTTTCAGAGGCTGAAGGCTGCGGTTCACTACACCGTTGGCTGCCTGTGTCAGGAGGTTGGAGAAGATAAAGCCGTGCAATTCAGCAAACAAACCATTGCAGCTATCTCGGAGATCACCTTCAGGCAGTGTGGTACCGCAGTTTGCACATTAGCTATCTGTTTAAGAGCAATTACGGGAGAAATAATGCTTTAAAAACATAGCGCTGGAGCTCGGCATTGCTGGGCCACTGTTTCTTGCATTGAATCTTTAAAAGTATGAGAAGTGACTGTTTTTCAGACCTGGAAAAAGCATTTAAATGGGTGTGGAAGTAGTGTGTGGGCCCCCTGCCTCTGCAAGAGTGGTGTGTAATAACAAGTTATGGTCACTTTGCATTACTAACTTGGGTAATTTGTAGTTAACGCCTTTGTAACAGCTAGAACCCTGTTATTTCTCTCTTCCTGCTCAGAGTTAGCCTTTTAAAATATGTGGTGTCTTTGTTTCTCCAGAGATCTTTGCAAAAGACCTTGAAGTGTTTGCAAGGTAGGTACTGGAACACTTGGTTGCTGGAAAGGCTTTCAGTGTTCAGCTCCAATTACTGGATAACCTGTAAAACACATTTTGGAATTCAAGTTTTAAGGGGTTCTGTCGGCTGGCAAGTAGTGGCTGTGAAGTTAGGAAATAGGTAATTGCCTTGTAGGTTCTTCCTGATCTTGACTGCTGCCTGTATCTAATTGTCAAATGCATCGATACATAGCGGTATTGGATGGTTTGGGAGTGACAGATGCTTACTGGCATGCCAGTGTGTTTCATCTGGTTCATCCAGGGAGATAAGGGAATACCTTAAGGAGTCAACACAGTGATATACTGGCAAGGTAAGAGGGAATAGACCAGTGTTGCTTGAAGTTGTGGTTGCTGAGTTCCATGTTTTTTACACAGGAAGTGTGGGAATTTAGGTGTGCACATACAAATGTGTAAAACAGGTTTTTGCATGTTAGAGTTGGAAAAGACAGGCATGTTTGGTTTACTGGGTCCCTATCAAGCCCTTTTAGTTAGTGTTGAATTAGATGCTGTAAGGCCTCTTACAACCACTGTGGGCAAACACGTTAAGGGGTGTTTTTAATTTCATGCAGGCACGCAAAACGAAGCACAGTCACTACAGAAGATGTGAAGCTTTTGGCTAGGAGGAGCAGTTGCTTGGTGAGCTTCACTGTATTTTGTCTTGCACTACTCTTAAAATTGATTGTCTAGTTCCTAAGAGCACTTGAATGAAGGCTACAGACAATGAAGCAACTGTTGCTTAAGCAATTTCACTGGATTATTGACGATGATGGGCACAATCCAATGATTTTTAACTTTTCATCTTATTTTGCTTCATGACGCTGCCTCACTGTGGGGAATACAGGTCTCATAGCAATTCAAGCAGCAACGTTCTGGTTGCAGTAGGGCTGCTTAGGTTCCATGTATATGGTGCAATAGACAGACACATTGCAACATTGTCAGTCTCGGAAGTAATTCACTTGGGTTTTTTTCCTAATGTTGTGTTCCTTTCTTTTTTTAGCCTAAGGTCAGGAATACCTTTAGTATTTAGTAAATACTTTAGGATTTAGACACCTTGAAGTGCCAAGTTTCATAACATCAATAGAGGGATGATTCACTTTATTGTATTCTCTCATGTGCTGCTCTGTATGATGTTCATTGACTTAAACTCACTAATCTGTTATGACATACCTGTAAGTCCTTCCATGAAGAATATTTCCAATACTAATTTTAAATTTGTGTGAGGAGAGTTTTTCGTTCCACATGTGATTCGAACCATACAACATGAACTTCCCTGAGAAGGCACAGGAAAAGCTGGAGCTGAATTTTGTGTTCTAAACAATCGTGTGCTCTTCGTTCAAGTGGGTGCACAGGAATCTTGCAGTGTTTTTGTACTCAGGTTAAACCCTGGCAAACTACAACTCTTGAGTAACTGCTGCTGTTGCTCTCTTAGTTCTAGACATGGATGTATCATACATTTATAAACCCTTGCTAGGGCATTTCGGTATTTGAGGATGTCCAGCTTAGACTGAGCCTTTGTGTAAGAATTAAAACTAATTGATGTTTGTCAGCTTTTTTGGAGTCTGTCTTCTTTGGAGTGACATTTTGCCCTGTTAGTTTCTCTTAAATATTTCTGATTTCTCTGGAATAAATGAACTTCTTAGTAGGTAACCGATTAGTTTACTGATCACAGCTCAAGTATATCACCGAGAAGAGTGAAGAGCTTGCGTTAAATAACATGGAGCAAAAGGAGAAGAAGAAAAAGAAGTTCAATGCAGTTAAGGAAGGAAGGACTTCTGGGGAATGTGAAGCAGCTGTGACTGAAAGTGAAGATTACAACATGGCATGACTTACCTTTCAAGTAATGTGTCTGGTCATTTTCTCTTACTGTCCTAGAGGGACCAGTTAGCCAACTAGAGATTCCTCTTGCAGCAATGGTAATGAATGTTTTGGCTTTTAGGTGAACAGAATTAGCAGGGTTTTTTTGTTGTTCCAAAACTGGAAAGTGTCAGAATTCAGTAAAGCTTACAGCCAAAATGCCTTAACTGCTCACAAAAAAGTAAATTACTGTTATTAAAAAGAAAATGCTTTAAATTTTAAAGCAGAACATTGTCACTGACCAGAATATCTCGGTATGTGCAATGGCCTCCATGCTCCTCCTTGGTTTCTCCAGTAATTGTTTGATTTCTTTCTTGTTTCCATTTTTGCTTAATGTATTTTATTTTTGGTTAATTGCCATATTTCTCACTTGTCTTGACAATTAAAACATGTTTTGTGTCATTTCTCATCTGTGACACTGCTGATGGACTGTGCTTTAGTAAGTTGCATTACATTTCTAACTTTACTAAGGTAATGTGGCTCTGGAGTGGTGGTCAGAAATGTATCATCTCCATTGTCCTCTGCAGGACTGTCAGAGCCTTACCAAGTGCTGCTGATACAAAAGCAGAAAAGCAGCAGATTTCAAGACCTAAGGTGTCAGACAGATACAGCCAAATGAAATGGGAAGGCTGCTTAAGCTGTTACTTGGGCAGACGTTATCAAGCAAGTGTATGCTTGCCAAGGATAGTCTAAAATATGCATAAGATATGAAACCCCTCCATTTGTTTTTCCCTTGAGGCTAGACTGGAAGGACCATCACTGCCTTCCTACAGGAATGATCTGCATGGTCTCTGTGACTCCATCTCAGTGTTTGCCTGGAAATGGGTGAGTGGAATACTCCTAATACACACAGGATTGAAGTAATTATGCTATCTGTTATTTTAAGTAGATGTGAAAAAGCCACAGGTAAAACGCTTCTTTCCTCTTGTATAGCTTAAGGAATAGAATTTCAGTTGCCAAGTTGAGCTTGAAAGAAGCAAAAGCATTGCAGCTTTGAGCAAGACTGAAAAACTGGTTCATAATGGAGAGAGTGGTGATCACAAGCTGAGACATAAACTCACAGAAAAAGTTTGCTGGCAGCTAGGCTGCTCACTGCACGCTGTTTCAGTTGGGTGGGCAGTGTAATTAGCTTTCAGTGTGACTGAGCATGCCTCCAAAGTTCTGTTAATGCACAGCCATCTATGCTATTTCAGAAAGACTTGAACAGAAGCTTGTAATAAGTAGCTATTTAAAACAGCAGGAAACCTTTTTCCCTGCCATAGCTTGTAATGGTACAAGCCAGAAGGGTTTAATGTGAAAAGCCATTGCCTTAGCAAAAGAGACTGACCAAAAAGTTGACAGCAGGCTTCCCCACTAAGTCCAGTCAACGCCCATGTGGGTAGCTTCACCTGAAGTCACCCTGAGTATTTTTGCTTACCTGCTCAAAGGCATTAAATATTTATTAGTTACCCTGGCAGTCTAACTCTTAGTGTGCCATAATTCCACTGGAATGTCTATATGTAATGGTTTCATGACTGCCCTGCTGTAGGAATACTCACCAGCTGGTATTCGGTACCATTTAAGGTTATGTTAAATCAGAGGGGTTTGCATGATACTAGAAACACTTGTATCTACTAAAACTTCCTCCAAAGTTCTAGCTCACTTTCTGGATTTCTTTCCTTATACGTCAATTCTCACAAAAGAACAGCCAGCTGAGAGCTCTGGTACAGTGTCACCACTATGAACATGCATTCACTTTGGACAGGTTAAATACAGAGTACTTCTCTATTTATTTCCTCTTTCTTCTAGCATTAAGGCAATATTGTACTTATCAGCACCTTCTTTAATCATAGCAGCTGGTGGAAATATCAAACCTAGTCCAACAGTAAGGTAAAAAGGTTTTAATGGTATTAGAGAGACTTCAACAAATTTTAAAATAAGCCAGTTAATACAAAAGCATCAGGATACTTACACTAATGATTAGGAGAGTAATACAGGCAGACCAAAACCAAATCTTCTGCCCCACAGCCTTACAAAGCGAGTATTTCCACCTTTGCTATGTTTTACAAGTTAGTGCTTACACACGGCACCCAGGAGCCAGGAGCTCCTTACAGAAAAAGCACAGAAGTTAGAAGACTTTGAACTGACTTTAGCTGATGAAATGAGCACGAAAATTCGAGTTCCTTGATCCCAGGCTGGAGCTTAAAGCCAGAGAGCAGCTGGCTAACCCTTCTGCCCTGTTCATTAACTGCCTTGAAGCATCTTCTCCAGAGGTCTTCCAACCTTTACACTGGAAATGGCAGGAGGACAAAGTAAGCAAACTGCCCAGGGCTTCAAAAGCCAGATCCATCATTATCAGATGGAAGCTGCTGGCTCCCAACCAGGTATTCAAAGCTGAGCCTTTACATGCTGTGTTTAGCAATCCCATTGTTCCAGTTTTCTGCAAAAAGTCAAAATCCCTTTGGTTACACATGATTTGAATCATCATGGGAGTTTAAACCTCAGGACAATGTCCAGATTTGAGTTGTCTGACCACAGCATGACCAGCAGACTATGGCTCCCAGGACACATCTTTGCTTGTACTGATTCTAATACAAAAAAACAAGACACTGCAAGCAGCACCACAGTCTATTTTTTGCGTTTTGAACTAACCCAGTCTCCCAGGGGTAGTGTTTTCTTGCCCTTTGATGTGCTCCTTAGGGAATGCAAAGTCTGCACTTGTTGTAGACACTTGGAGAGCTCCTGATCACAGGCTCGCTGCAGAGCTTCAGCTTTCTGCTTGTCCCATCTCAGAGCCAAGGCCAGGGCTTGTGTGTCTTCTTTCAAGACCAGCTGTAGCAAGACAAGATTTCCAACAGTCTTTTCTACTGATGCTCCAGCACTAACCCCTCAGCCCACACTCAGAATAGCAGCACAGACACCTGCTTAATACTGGTAGCTGGTACTGAGGATGTGCCCAGCTTTCATCATCTATCCCATAGGGTAGCAGGTTTTCAATATTCTAGGAACACCCAGAGCCTGAAGCTATAGTCAGATTTACAGAGGAACAGAAGCAATTACTTAGTTTCTACAGCAGGGAAAAGCAAGAGTAGCAAGTTCGTAACATTAGAAAGAACACACTGACAAATGACTAAAGTTTACCTAGACTTTCCTTTCCAGGCTCTGGGTTTATTTACATTGTTTTTCAAAATACAGAGGTTTTTATTTTGGTTTGGGATGTATAAAAGATGCATCTGCATACAAAAAAAAAGAACCCCAGCTTGCTGGTAAGACAGCTGAAACACTGGCTGAGTATGATCTGGTAGAGATTAAAACCAGAATTATTTTGTGGCTTTTCAGAGGACTTGGAATAGCATCAGCAGGCTCTTACAGAGGAGCTCCAAGCAGGGGGTAGAGTTACTGAGGAAGAGAGATTAAATCTCACTGCTTTGAGACTGAGACATATTAACATTAAAGTCTTCAGAAGCAAGGACAGCTTGTCCTATTGCCTCTCTTTCCAGAGGGAGAGATTTCCCAGGCTATGGTTATGTCATTCTCACCCACCTCAAGATCTTGACTGTCCAAGCAGAGCTCTGGAGCAGGTTTCTCTTTCAGAGCAGTAACGATCTGGTCACTGAGCACTGTTTTGGCTGAGGTGCTGGTACTGCTGGTACTCGTGTCAACCACATCCATCTCCTTTCTTGGTACAGTCTCAGATTCTGAAAAGTAGCAGAATCATTATAACCCATGACAAACGGAGGACAGCAAGAGTGGCCTGGACTGCTTTAAGATTAATGACATGCATTCTGTCTACATGCATCCTCTCACTTAAGGACAGACATATGACTTAAGCTTTTCTTCCAGTATTCTACTTTCAGGCAGTATGAGGAATGTAACACTGCAGTGAGGGGAGGACTGCTGTCTCCCAGGCAGGGAATTCTATATCAGCTATTACCTGAACCACACTAATAGCTGCTAAGCAAGTGACTGATTGTAGGCCTTCACTCTGTCTTATTCCACTCAACTATTTCAGGCATCTGTGAGAAGCTCCTTCTCTAGCATCCTAATTGCTCCTTACCTGGTACTTTGCTTAAGATACTGTCTTCATTTTTCAAGGCCTTTAGGTAGAGTTCCAGGAGCTGTCTTGACTGGCGTTCTTCTTCTCGTCTGTCCAGCACCTGCTGCAGAGTGTCCTGCAACACTTGGATTTTGGTTTGACTCTGGGCAAGTTCTTCTGCCAGGTCTGAACGTGGTACATCAATAAGCACCTTAAAACAAGGAGAGTGCTCCTGTTACAGGGATTAACTCATTCCATTACACTGATTAGAGAACAGACAGCAAGCCTTTACCTTCAGAAAACCCAGCATCTTTCAGAAGGTTTCTTATGAAAGCTTGTCAGCCTAGTTAGGTTGTAAGAGCACTCCACCAGTCTCTACCAGAAGCCAGAAGGCATCAAGGAAGGTGTGGATTTTTAACAGAAATTCTGGCAACTCCTGGCTTTTGGGAAGCTGGCTTTAAGGAAGGAGCCCATGCCAGCTGCCATTTGGCCAAATCCTGACTTTTTGAGCTCCCAGTGCCAGAACTGGAAAGAGATGCTGTGGGAGACAACCAGTGATGAAAAGTGTCCTTCTCAGACACTGGTGTGTGCTTCCCCTTGAGGAGAAATTTGACCCTAGCACCACAGCCAAACAACAGCAGCTGAATCTAGCTTGATATCTTGCTGCTTATTCTGTTCTCTGCCAGCTACTGAGATAAACAGATAAAGGACAGGAATGAGAGATTTTCCCACTGTACCTGGAGGTCTTCTTCAGACATCAAGATGATATTGGACAGGTCATCCTTCAGTTGCCTAGCTAGCTGCTTCCACTTCTCTGCGGCACTGTCCACTTCATCCGTAGACTCAGAGAGCCAGGTTGTTCCACTGTCTGACACAAGAGCCATCAGCTTCATGGGTCATTCCTGATCCACCTGAGACAGCTTCATTTCACCAGGTGTACTCCAGTCCCCCTCCCCTTCCATGCTCCCTCAGCCACAGAATACCTGAGCTTCTGCTGGACCATTTTTCATTCTTGGCCAGTGCCACAAACTTGGTATCAGGTGGCAAACACAAAAAGTAATCTTCATCATCCACAATGGTGCCATCTTCTGCCAGTACTAAGGTGATGGGCTCCCTGTCCTTGTCAATAGCCAGAATGCCACTAGCTGCAAGACACAGAAAATCCTTATAGTGAATATTAAATATGAAGCTGTGGTAGTGTTCAAGGCCAGGTTGGATGGGGCTTGGAACAACCTGGTCTAGTGGAAGGTGTCCCTGCCTATGGCAGGGGTTGGAACTGGGTGAGTTTTAAGGTCCCTTCCATGTAACCACTCTGTGATTCTGTAATTCTGATTAAGTATAAAATTCTGACATATATTCTGATATATATTCTAATATATATAGATATATATATATACATACATTCTGATCTATGTGTTGCTGTTTTGTTACACCTGTCAGAACACAAGCAGCTCCTGGTAATACAGGACCCGTCTCCATATGGTGCTACACACCAGCGCATACACACGACTTTGCTCTCCATAAACCCATATTCCCGATGCAAACCTCGGCGGGTGCGCTTCCCGGCGCTTCCCCCCATCTCCCTTCACACACACACCCCCCCCAGCGGCACCGCCACCCGCAGCCCGTTCTGCCACCTCGCACCGGGTTTCCCGGCGGGGGTTCCCGCTCACCCTTGTCGCGCAGCTCCCGCAGGCAGGAGGCGGCCACGCCGTGCTGCTGCCGCCCGTCCCTCCGCAGCACCAGGCACCGCTTCAGCGGCCCCGCCATGGCCTCACCCGCAACACCCCGGCCGCGAGGCGCGACGGGACTGGCCGCGGGGAGCGCCGGGACGTGCGGGGCCCAGCGAGGGGCGGCGGGATGGGCAGCGCGCCTGGAAGCGGCGGTTTTCCTGCGGGCTCACAGCGTCTCCATAGAGGCGATGTGGAGGAAAGCTACTGCAAGCCCAGTGTTGGCAGCGGTTTAATTTGGACTTGATGATGTTAAAGGTCTTTTCCAACCTAGTTGGAAAAGGTTGCCCTGCACTGCTGGACCCGTGCTCCCCGTGCTTCCAGCCTCCTGGCAGCCGTGGCATGGCGGTGCCATGCGGGGAAAAGCTGGCATTTCCAGGCAGGAACTGTTCGCTGTGAGGCAGGGCAGGTGGCGGCAGCGCACACCGAGCCGCAGAGACCGGTAACTCGCCGCACGAGTGGTTCTCCGCGGGAGCTCATCGGTGCCTCGGCGTTCTACTCATTCTGCCTTGCAGCTCCAGCCGGTGGCGGGGCGCGGGTGGGGTAAACGGCGGCGAGGGCGTTGCATCGGTTGGTCGGGGATGGATTAGGCTGGCCTGGGAAGATGGCCTCCTCGGAGCAAGCGGAGCAGCCCAGCCAGGTGAGCGGGGCCGGCGTTCGGCCCGCTCTGCTCGGGCAGTGGTCGGCGGGGAGCAGACGGACGGGGTGGGACGGGGGCGCCGCCGCAGCGCCATGGGGGAACGGGTGAGGGGGGGAGACCGGCGCGGCTCTGTTCCCACCGCCCCGAGCCTCCCGGTGCCGCCGCGCCCCGGCCGCCAACCGCCGCCCCCGCACCTGTCGTAACGGTCACTCGTGAGGGGGCGGCTCGCGCCGCCTCAGCCCCGGCGCCATGGGCCCGTCCTCGCCGCAGAGCGCAGCCCCTGAGGCGCGGGGGGGAAGCGGTGCCCCGGCCCGCCTCCGCTTTAGCGGGTGTCCGGCTCCCGGCCATGCGGTCACCGGTGGCACCGGCGGAGCTGCGCGTCCTGCCCGGTCGGTCCTGTGGCTTGGCGTCCCGCCCTGTGCGGCAGCGTGAGGTGATGCGGGGCAGGCTGCGCCGGGCAGCGAGGGCGGCTCTGAGGGGAAGAATTGGGCAGGCCAGGCCCGTTTCGGTTTAGGGTCTCTGAAACGCAATAAAGCACTTGAACAGGGAGAAAAAAAACACAGAAAAAGCATAGTCGGAGAGAGAGAAAGCGATTGATGTGTCAGCTGTGTTCTGTAGAGTGCTAGTTAGACCAAAACGTTGTCTCTGCCTTAGAACTGTGAGGGAGAAAGAGCCTTGAACCAACAGCATAAAAGGGCAGAGCAGTGATGGATGTAGTACAAGCATTGTCCAAAACTGAATGGGTGAAAGAGAAATGTAAGCTCGGTGGGTTGAGTGTGTGCTCAGGAAATGTATTAAAAGCTTAAGATATTTTTTAAGTGTCACCTGAAGTGAATGGGGGAGCCCCAGGGAAGGAGGGTGCAGCTGTATGCAGTGTAGATTCCCAGTCACCTGCGCTGTCTTGCTCACCATGAGCGTAACTTGCGTTTCATTGTGAACTCTGCCTGCCTCAGAGTTAGTGTCGGCGCTCTCATCGCACCAGTATCTCAAACAGACTCCTGTGTCTGTCATACCAGTGGGGTTTGTAAAACCCTTCAGGGGGCTGCACAGGACCCCCCTGCAGCCAGCGGGAGATGAAAGGTCTGGCTGCTCCAGCAACAGGGAAGAAAATGGAGCAAAGCCTGCTTTTATGTCCAGTTGTTCAAATCCAGCCGTATTTGACTAAATCACTGTGAACCTCTCTTTTGATCCTTTCATTTTGGGCTGAAGAGGCTGAGTTTGTAGAGAACGTGGTTGAACTAAACTGAAGTGAGTTACATTAAATTTATACCCTAGCCAGCACAAATCTCTTCCTGGGCCAAGTTACCACACTCATAGCAAGCTTGCCGGGCAGTTTTGTATTGGCTGTGTGCTTTCATCAGTCGTAGTTTGAGGTCCATTCCATTATAGTCCATTCCTCATGCTTCCAGTGAGTGCTTTCAGCATGGGGAATCCTGAAACAACCCATGACTGATCCATAAGCCACTTGAGCAGTCTACAAGGCAGCTGCCTAGAGGTTTCTGAGAAGCAAATACGGTTAATTGGCAAATGTGGTTGCCTGGAAAGCATTCAGGTTCTCTTCAGTTGGATATAGCATCCTCCTGTTGCACCCTTCTAAAAAATACGTTTGTTCAGTGGGGTTTTTTATCTCAAAATAAGGCTTGATGATTGAAAGTTGAAAAGTTGTGCTTTTTAATGAGCCTCATGAATGCAGCCAGAGCATTCCCTGGGCTTTGAAAATTAGGGACATAAAGAAAGTCACTCAGTCACTGTCTCCATAGTGAAAAATGGGAATGGTAACTCTTACTGTGTGTAGCAGGGAGAGTTAAGAGTCTGTGAAGAACATAGTGAACATAGAACATACTTGTGCTGCTTTCCAAATCAGGAAGAGTTTGAGGTATGGTAGGATACCTGGGCTACAAAGTTAACTTTTCACCTCAGGGACTATTTTATGAGGGCTGTGATGAGGAGGGAAGTGGTTTGAAGCCTCTCTGGGTGACAGGGGTCAGTTAACACCTCTTCTGCTGGATTCTGTCACACTGTATGTAAAAGTGCTGGCAAATTAATTGCACCCCTTTTGGTTCCTGTCATGACTTCATTGGTGGCAGTTTGTTTGAAGGGCAGCTCTGGTAGTCTGCCTTGCTTCAGGTGTGTGAAGGTAATGCTCCAGTTCAGCCAAAGCAAACCACACTAATATTTATCCCTTCCACATGCCCCAGGAGCAGCCATGCTTAGGTATTACCTTTCCTCCTTCCCCAGGTTGTGTGCAGACAGGGGGAGGTTCTGTCTATCCAGGGCTGTTGGTGCCTGCTTATGACAGATGCTTGCATCCTCACCACCTAGTATATGTCTTACACTGGTTGCACATTCCTCATCCAGGACTCTGGTTGGGAAGCTTCAGTGCTCTCACATTCTCTTGGCTTGGATGGGATTTGAGAGAGTTTTGCAGCTTTGGCCAGAAAGAAAAGGTGTCATTGAAAATGTGTAGCACAGCAGATGAAGTCTTAAGGGGACAATTCTGGAATAAAACCAATGAAAATGTCTTTATTAGTCTAGCAAAATCTAAGTGCCACTCTCATGCAACCACTGCAGTTTTGACACCGTTAGCAGTGTGCATAAAAAGTTGTCCCTGTTGCACACTAAATATTTAGAGAATTAAAAAATGTTTACTTTTTACCACTGAAGATGTTTATTTGCTGTCCAGCATTCAACATAAGGCTATGAATAGTGGCACTGCCTTGCTTAACATGTTTATGTTTGGGTCCTATCGTGTTTCCTATTACAAATCTAGTTAGTTTAGATGCTAAAAGGGAGTGTCAGATATCTTTTGGCTTATTATCTGTTTTCCTGAGCTTAATTTTCTCATTCTCATGAATTATTATATTGCCTCAAGCAGTGTGGGGAGAGGGGGAGTGTTGCAGCTCAAATTAAATCATTTATATAGATAGAATTAGGCAATAAACACTTATACCAGAGATTTTAAAATACTCATTTTTGTTTAGAAATCATGTTCCTTGGGCCTTTAGGGATGTCTTTACTATAAAATATACAGAAAGAAAGAACCCATCACTCTGTGCTATCCCTTATAGTAAAAGAAAGGGAAAAGCAAGACAATGGTATAGCCTGTGAAGCAGAATAGCCAATTTTTCATGGGTGTCAGTATTTCTTTGATGCTGAATGCTTGGACAGTGTATGTGGCGAGGCTTGGCTCAGCCAGCAGCCCAGTCCTCTGGCATTCCATTTAGCCCTAACTCCAACTGTGAGAGAAATTGAAATTCTTTAACATTAGTTGGCAGTGGTGGTGTGGGTTTAGATAAATATGTCTACATTTTTCCAAGCTGCTTAGTTTGGGACACAAAATGATACCTAATTATCTGTGCAGTTATGTGTAGAGGTGGAGAATTCCATAGCCTGGAAGTCAGGATGTAGCTGGTCTTGGAGTCCTAAAAGGCTTGAAATTGTTAAAGTCAGTGGCTGAACCATTGAGTTGGTACCAGACTGGTAGTACAGTCATGGAGGTCAGATAAGCAGAGTGCATTCTGGATGTGGGATTCTGTTGTTTGTTTTATGACACTGGAAGGCTCACTATGCTACAACCAGATTGCATAGTAATTTAATACAAGAGGCTGAGAAATGAGAGATGACAAAGTGAGCAGAACGCATTGATGTTCTAACATCTGTTATACTTGGTGATGTTCTCTTATGTGGTTTAGTAGGGAAGCAAGCAGAGTACTAAAGCCCAAATCCTACTTATTTTCTTTCTAAAGCTTTGATATTCCCACTTTGTATTGAGTCTACCATGTAGCTGCATTTTTTTCTTCAGGTAAGGAAGTAGTTCAAGCAAATTTCAGAGATGTTGAAAGACGCCTGATTTGTTGCTCTGGAGACTGAATTCCTTAGTGGCATTGTTAGTATATAGGTAAAATTTCCTCGCCCCTTGCTTGTAGGTTCTGGATTCTCTGCCTGAAAGGATGGTTTTTATGGTGAAGTTAAATACTCTCTGGACTATGATGTCCATTGTTTCATTAAATACAGGATGTTAGACGGTCCTTGCATGGACAGGGTAGAATCCTCCCTGACTTACCTTGGAGCTCATGTGTTCTGGGGGGTTACTGTCCCCTACTTTATAAGACTTTGCTGTTACACTATGCCTTGTACTTGGAAACCTTGCTAGAAGGAAAATGCAGATCTCATTTAGAATATTGGTAGCTTTGGACAATGCAGCCAAAGTACCATAAATTACCTGACTCATTGTACATATGTCGTTGGGTTATGTGCAAGCACATACCAGAATTTCTGAGTATTTGTCTTCAGGATCCAGACTCTTACCTGTCAATATAACACATTTCTCACAGTACCCTGGGCTTCATTTGAAATCCTTCTTTGGTCAGTTTCCCAGGTTGACCAGATTTTATGTGCAATGTTTATTGTCTAAGTCTATGAACACTGATGCAGCTCCTTAGGGCAAAACATACAAGCTCTGGTACTTGAGATGCTCTGGGAATTTTTGGAGGATATGAATTCTGTGGTGGTTTTTCCTTCTTTCTGCCTTTGTGATACTGCTGTTTGCATCACACATCTGTAGGTTCTCTCTTTTTAAAGTCAGCCTAACTACTTAAAATTCTTTGGATTTTCCTTGAAACGTGCTACAGAAGAGTGAAACATGTATATTCTTAATAAAAACTGCAAATGGCTTGGTGGAACAGTTCCATGAAATAGTAGTTAACAGTTATAGTTATTTTATTGAAGTATTCAACAGAATTTATCTGTGCTGCTCTGTCTGCCTCTTCTAAGCAGTTCTGACCCTGTGCTAACTGAATTTGATGAATTTGGTGAATCAGACCCTAGTATTTTAGAGTATTAGCTAGGGTGAGAGACCTGTGTTAGTCCTGGGATTTAATAAAATAGATCATATGCACCAAGTAAGTTTATCCACACCCAAACCAGGTTTTGTTAACTTATTAATAAATCGTGCAAGCTATATTCTTGTGTTGATTCCCATATGTTTTCCATATTTTTGGAGGAGTGGGTGGATCTTGAGACTATTCATTAGTTTTCTTTCATCCAGCTATAAAAGATTGGAAAGCAGAAATACTCTGCATAGAAAAATGGGAAGCTAATGACAGGGTAGAAGAGAGAACTGCCCTGATCTTGGCATCACATAGCACTTCTCCACTGCGGATAGAGTGGGCAGTGTGACTTCCAGGGAGGTGTTAAAGCTGATATTTGCAGTGCTTATGTCAAGTGAATTCTTACTGACTAAAATGTTTGCAGCTATATAGTGAGGTAACAAAAATGATGATGACTGCACATAAGCAGACTAAAGAGCCCAGCTGTGAGATGTAGCTGGGCCCTGGTGATGATGCTTAGGTCTGGAAGCAGCTGAGCTGCACTATATTTGAGTTTCTGGCACCCTCTTGTGGTAAATACTTATTTTTATCTATATTTTTTGAGTGTTTTGTAGATGGGGAATAAAAAGTATTGAGATACTCTGAAGGTGTAGCGTGTTAACGTAAAAGTGATGAATAGAACTGGAGGACAGGAAGTAACTTAAGGACCTTGATGGTATCTCTTGGAAGTTTTATCTTTCCCTATACTCAATGACTAGAATCCCTTTTATCTAACTGAGCCCCAAAACTTGATTCCATTACTAATCAAACTGCAGGTGTTTTACCACTGAGGTGACCAGTATGTGTCATCTCTCCTAAGATAAAAAAGCCCACAGTGAAGGCAGTGTGGTTTAGACCATCTTAACATCAGGTGAATCCCATTTGAAAGCAGATGGTTGACCAAGCTAAGTTTATATTACGGTAAAACTTAGGTGTCTCTACCTGGGGAGAGCTGATACATGCCAGTTACACACAGAAGATCAAACTACTCTTTTTTTTTTGGCAGTGAAGAAAAGCTCTCGAGTAATTCTGTAAAACTTGGGACTATGCCAAAGTGTTGTGCCTCTTCTTGATGCATACAAACAAAACTGCGTGTGAGCCTGGAGAATGGAAGCTCCTGAATCTGAAGTCTAGTCCAGTCTTTGGTTTGCTGACCTGCTTTAATCACAGTTTCCTTTTCTCCTGTGTACCAGCCTTTCCTAGTGTGCAAGGAAGGGTGTTCAGCATCTGCCCTAAACTGTGTCTTTTTACTTATGTGTGGGAAAGAAGGATGGTAGTGATATTGCTGACATGTTTGAGGTTTAGTTAAATCACAGTAATTTGGAAATCCTTAGAAGAATAGAGCAGAACAGAAAGGGTGCATTACTGGATCATGGAAATGGGAGAAGCTTGGTGTCAAAATTAAGTTTAGTTCTTCTAAAGAGGAAAAGTGAGCCATGGAATCAGAGGGAGATACTTTTGCAGCCACCTCAATACTTCAGGCTTCTGCAGCATTTCTTCCCTTTAGTATTGCAGAATTCTTTGTGGATGTCAAGTACCCATCAGGTCCTTTTGAGACAGGAAAATGATTATCCTCATTTCATGAACGGTTAAAGTGCTGTGTCTTACACCATGCAGTGTGAAAAGTGCTGCAGTAAAGAATTTAGCGGAGAGTTCCCAGTTTGATGCTGTTTGTTCATTGCTCCATGTATTTCAGAGTTTGAGTTAAGGTGAACATTTCTTTTCATGACATCTCTCAGCAGCCTCTCTGAGTCTTAACTTCTGGCTCCCTAAAGCAAGTTCTGCCGATTCTGTGCATTCTGTTGTTTTAAATGGGAACTTCTGGAACTTTTTTTTTTTCTGTGATTCTGACCTTTTTGACTTCAGTAAATCACAGATAGCAGAAGCGATTGTGTCCGCCTAAATCCTGCTCCTCGGAAGCGTGGTCTTAACCGACAAGTATTTCTGATTGTGTCCATCAGGTGGCAATGTAACCTCACTGTTCTTTTTGCTTTCCAGGCTGGCTCCTGCCCTGCGACTGAAAATGCAGCATCTCGGGAGCCGCTGGTAAGTTCTTCGAGAAGCAGCATATATTTTTGCTGATAATGTAGTATAGATGAATTGTTCTCTTTGCTGCATTATTTTGCATCCATTGCTTTGCTTTTCTAAGGAGCTGGTGCTTTGTGAGAGGTGTGTAAACTGCCTTATGTTGCCCTGCTGTTGACCTTTGACCTGTAGCCATAACCTCCTACCTTTCTGGGGTTAGAAATGGGTCACCTAGGCCACTGAGTTGTCCTTGAGCATGGACTGCTTGTCCTAAGAATGTGCAATGTATGCTCTTGATCAGTGTGCTTCTTTAGTAAAGAGTCTGAAGAAAGAGCTGTGCAGCATAATTTAAACTGAGACTCTTACTGCTATTGTCTGATAAAAACCCCCTCTGCAGTTCAGAGGCCTTATTCAAGCTGTCTTTATATTCAGATGCACCCAGAGTGAGCTTAGAAGTGTCTGGCAGCTGGCCTTGCATGTGATCCAATGTTTTCACTCTAGAACCGTTTTGGAAAGAGCTTGTTTTTTTTTTTGTGATGATAACTAAAAGAACCCTGTTTTGTTTTCTTTTTGATGGTGATGGAGGGGTGGGAAGTGAGCCACTATTCTCTGGAGCTGCAGAATATATATATTTTATATATATATATATATATATATATACACAATCTTCTTTTTTTTTTTTTTTTGTTTTTTTGCTTCCTCTTCAGCCATCTATAACTCAGTCAAAACCTTTCCAAAATGCTTAGCCCATGTTATTGTCCTAAACTTCTGAATCTGTAATTGGGATTCTTCTCTGGCTTTCATTTGATGATCATAGTGAATACAAGCTGTTTGCAGGGAGAAGACTTAAGTACTTTCCATAATGGTGTGGCACTGGCCACATCAAAGTATTTTTACCTTGTAACTCTTATCTGGAGAACACAGGAGATGATTTTTACAGGAGAGAGATGTGAGTAAAGACTGTGACCTGGGAAGAGTCAGTAAAATGCATGAAATGAAAGGGATGTTCATGAGATGTGTTAAGCTCTGCAGTGAAAACCTCTTTAGTAACACTATGCCATCCCATAGTCATCTGTATGTGAGATTAACTAGAGTTATTATTAACACCATGTGCTTTTTGATGGATTTTGTGGTTTGTTTTGAGGGGGTTTGTTCCCCTCCACCTTAGGAAGGTCATAGCAGGCAGCAGATCATCACACCCTGTAGTGGTCAACACTTTGTTCTCTTTCTCAAGGCAGATCCTAACATTACCTTTGATTTAATTAATTTCTTACTGTATGTGCAACTGAAGAATTGCTCAGAGGAAGCACATAGCAGTTGTGTATCCTTCTTTATATGTGTATATTTCTACCACATAAAAATATTTATACATTTAAAGAACTCTAACATAAACTTTGTTCTCACAATGGTGAGTCTAGTGTGTGAGCTAATTAAAGCCCTTTGAAAGGTGGAGGCTTTCTCCTTATTCTTTCTTTTCATATATTAAACTCTCACAGTCTTTGTCACGTTTGCTTAGGAATCATTATTACTTCCAGCTGAGTATGTTTAGAAGCCTTATTAAATGAGCAGTTCAGTTCTGTGAGCCAGATGACCTAACTTACACCACACTACTGTGGCTTCTCTGTAGCCGGGATCATGCATGCTGCCTTCTAATGCATGCAGTAGATGTCAGTCCATGAAGCAGACTTGTGGGCACATGGGACCATGTCATAAAAATGTTTATGGAAACACCAGAACAAACTGTGGCATGAATCCAGCAAATGGCTCTGTATGGAAAGACGTTTGCTCCGGCTTATCATTGCTGCCTTCAGATCTGGTGCAAAGCAGTTGAAGAAGACTTACAGAATCCAGAGGAGGGAGAAGAGTCTAATGGCCAACTTCTGCTCTGTACCCTTTCACCTTTTTTGCCTTAATTGGTGACTGAAAATCCTCAGTGCTTTGCAAGACTGAAACCTGCTCAGAACATACAGGTGGTGTTACACACAAGAATAAGAAAGCAATAGCATTAAACATCTTGTATCGTATCAGCGGATGCCATTACAGATTCATACAGTATTTGTGATTCTAATGGGCACTGTATCCTCCCAGGTGCTAATACCTTCTGCTCTGTGCTCAGTGGCACCGTCTTCTGTGTCCTTTGTACCCCTGCAGTCTGCTGCTTTCAACCGGAATCCAGGAGAAGCGATGATTTCTAGCTGTTTGTAGGAGGACTTCAGTGTTCTACAAGATCATGTAGCAGATGTAGTCTGATGCATCATATTGTGTCCTGCATTTTGGGTTTATGGCCTTACTGAGGCCTTCAGAATAGAGCCCTCCAAACTCATGTCACACGCCTAATTGTTTTTTCTTCGACCTACTTCTGATGTTTCGAACTACCAAAAGGGAGATGAGGGACTCAGTGTCCATGCCATTAATCTCTTGAGTTATCCAGTGTCCTTACAATAAACCGTCCTAACTGAAAAACACTCCCTAATAAGAGGTCATTGTGTAACAGCACTGACAGTGGAGAATGAGTTGGAGGGGGATGGGGGAAGCTGTAATTTTTGCAGCAGAGAGCGGACACTCATTTCCCTGGCTGTCGGTCTTGCCCCATTAAAATTTGCCGTGTAGCTCCATAGTGGGAAGTGTAACCTTGTGTTAGCAGAGTGTCAGCATCTCGCTCTGCTGCTGTTTACAGCCACGTTTGTCATCGTCAGCCTGGGATCAGCTTCTCCTTGAGTCCAGCTTATCAATGAACACTGCTGCATCCCTTTCTGCTCGTATGTGCAGCCACCTCTGATAAGCCTCTCAACACTTGTGGAATTGGAATAGGTTTGTCTTTTTGCAGCCACTCAAAGTCCTGGGTTGTGCAAAAGGCGTAACTACAAAGGACAAATCCCCTTTCTGTGAGAGTAAAGCATTAGAAATTCCCCTTTTTTCTTGAATCTTTGTTTCTTCAGTCTAGTTTCTCTCTTTAGTGTAATTATGTCATCTTTTTTACTTCTCTTTTTCGCTTGCTTTGTCTCTCCCTAGCAGCATCTTTTAGCTCTTTAACCATATTGTGCTGCTTTTGAGATGTTATCAAGAGCTTGAATATGTTTGCCGTTGGCCTGTGCTTTCTGCCAAATGTGCTGCAGTTGAAATTGCAGCTATGAAGGTTGTACACATGAGAGCCTCTATGATGAGCCTAAGGAAGCAGAGCTTGTAAGTGAGGCCTTTCCACATGCTGCTTGTTTGTTGTTTGTTTTTTTCCTTTTTGCTTCCTGCCACGAAACATACTCATTCCCTTGCTGGTGCTTGGTACCTGGAAGATGTACTAGTTGTAAATATAGAAGTACTGGTTATAAATGTAAAACACTCTCTTGGTTTCTCACTAAGTTACAAAATCCCTGGGTCATGGTATAAAGACCAGGATATTTCTTTTGCAGGATTATTTAACTTTTCTTCTTTTATGTTTAGCATCTGCTGTTTCTTTCTGGTTTTTGCTGCACTGAAATATGGACACTTAATTCCCCTTCTAACACACTGTTCAAAGGTACAAGGCAACAAGAATTGCTGCTACCTCTGAAGCATTTAGTGTAGAGTTTGTTGGGATGTGCTGGAGCCCTTGTAGCTTTTCCCCACCCTTTGTTAAACTTATCTTCAAAATTTTAAGGGTCATGATAATGACCGGAGTACTTACTACACCCCTTTTTGTGCGCACATCATAGGGTACACTGCACGCATTCATTATTGTGTTTAAGGAACATGTCCATGTTATCTCCATTTGCCAGAAAAACTAATTGAGATACAGGTTAACTGCCTGGCCATGTTAGTCCAGCAAGTTAGTGCCATGGTGTAAGACCTAGTCTGTTGGCCTGGTAAATGAGGTAATTTCTATTTCAGGGCCTTCATTCTGCCTCCTTTATTTCTTTGGAAAAGCCTCTAGTCTTGCACATGTAATACGTATTTTTTAAAGTGATTGTGGTATACTGCTGCTTCCGTAGTTCATCCTTTTCTTGGTTTTGAGTAATTTTCTGGTGATTGAGGGATAACGAAAAAATGGAGAGCAGAGAAGACACTTGACATTTCTATATACAGTGTGTATCCACAGGCACAAAGTCACATCAGTCAGTATATCTGTGCTGAACACATTCAGTTTTGTACGTATCTTTGCTTTCCTGAGCCATCAGTTGGGTTCTCAAATTGAAGCTGTGACTGGGACTTGGTTCTGGGTATATTTAGTTCCCCTAAGTTTTTTGTCTTCAGTTGCTATGTTTCCTTGGAAGTAAACCAGTAAGATTTGTGGTGTGTGCTTATGATGGATAAAACTTTTGAAATTGAAACTGGACAGTTAGTTACCCTTTTCTCTGCTGCTTGGATTTAGGTGCTTAGCATTCAGTGACAGACAATAGAATTACTAGATCCTTTCTGTTTCATTGCCTCCTTTTAAACCTTATCTATTCTGTTAAGCTTCCTTGTAAGTAGCCTGTGGTTAAAGAGAATTTCATTTAGGTTTCTGAGAAAGGAGCTTAGCAATTGAGATTTTAAGTTTCACTACTTTTAGCTCTAACTGCTGTAATTAGAAGTTGATGGAGCCTAAACAGTATCAACCCTGTGGTCTTTAACCATGTGAACAAATCATGAGTGGGAATTGAGGAAAGGTTACAGAACTGTGCTGTCAGATTTGAGAGAGCTTGTTGGAACTAATGTTAGTTAATGTTAGTACTCTAACTTAGAGTACTCAGAATCCACTTTTTATGAATAAGCCTTTGGGCACATTGAGAATCCATTTCCCTCCACTTCTTGTGAAGCAGTAAATGCTCTTTCTGCCCTATCAAAGCCTACAGAAAACAAGATACATGGGAATTTTTTAAAGATTCTGCTGTGCCTGAAATTGTTATTTGAAATGAAGAACGGTATTTTCACTGAAAAGCTCATCCTTTGTTTTCAGGAGCACATTGTTAGGCAAGGGATACCATAGTACCCTTTTCGTTTCTTTTAAAGCTCAAAGGTCCTGCTCGAGATTTGTAGAAAAGCGTGACTTTTTTCAGAAGGACTTT